GTTTGTTTAGAAATTCATAATACGCGTAAAACAAAGTGTTAAAAACTTTTTTTAAAGCGTTTTTTACAAAGTAATATTTTCTTGTACTATTATGCATAAATAATTACATAATTATTAAGTTCGATCGTAATGTTCAATTTCTAAATGAAACGTTAAAAATTATTTGTATGTTTAAAACAAAGTGCTAAATAAATTTTAGAAAAAAAAAACCTTTTTAAAACACTATTTTTTATTATTATCATTTCAGTTATTATAGTTCTATTATAGTTCATTTACGTCACACTAGAGCTGCACAATGGGCTATTGGCGACGGTCTGGGAAACATCCCTGAGGATGATCCGAAGACATGCCATCACAATTTTGATCCTCTGCAGATGGGATGGCACCCCCGCTTCGGTAGCTCGACGACCTGCACGCGAAGTCGAGCACTTTACGGTAGAACAGTTTAACGAGGACCAATACCGCACACCCTCGGTCCCTACGCAGACTGATCCAAGTGGTCACTCACCCGCACACTGACCGCAGCCAGTGATGCTTGACTTCGGTGATCTGCAGGGAACCGTGTCTTAACGATCAGTCCACTGCGGGACCTTATCATTTCAGATAAATAATTAAATTAAATTAAATAATGACCGAATTATGAACGAAAAACAAAGTAAGATTTAATTTCTTAAAAATAAAAAAATTGTGATATTCGATAATATATTTAGCTAATTAACAAATAATATGAAAAGAATATTTTTTAAAAAAAATTATTATACTCTCTAATAAAACGAAGTGCTAAATGATTTAAAAAAATGAATAAAATACGCAAACCTTTCAAATTTTTTTGTATAAACAAAGTTGATTGACTTATGTCCAAATCCAAATGACAAAAATAAATTTTGTTTTAACTTTATTTCTAAAAATAAAAACAACAAGATTTATAAATTTAAAATCAGTAATAAAAACTCATTAAATTATTAGAAGTTTCATCCAAAAAGTTTTTAATAAATTAAAAGAAAGTAAAAAAATAACCTAACAAATTCAATTCTTTATGGGCGCCTAAATTAGATTGCCGATAATTTTCACATTTAAAAATAAAAAGAAGTTTTTTTTAAAAAAAAACTTATCTAATTAATGAAGAAACTCTTCTTTATATATTCTTTTCAATAATAGATTGCCTTCAGAACAAGGTAACATCGGCGATCACGAAGTTAGTCCCACTGAAAATAATCTACAAGAAAAGTCGCGACAAAGAAAAAAAAAGCTAAGAGGTGCGAAAAGGAACATGCGATATAACGATATGTGTTCTCAAAACTCTGATTCTGATTCTACAGCTCACCAATCAAGGCCATTTCAACATAACGAAACGAACATCGTCTTCCACAGCGCGAGTCGACATCGGAACGTAAGAGAAGAGTCTTATATCGCTATATCGTTATCTTATATCCTTGCGTGTCTTATATCGCTATATCGTTTTGCGCTCGTTGTCTTTACTCGACGGCTTAAATCAACTTTCTGATGCATCGCCTTGAATGAAAGTCGCTGTATCGTCTTGCCGATATATGCGTTAAATCGATATGTCTCGATACATCGATTTATAGCCCAGTCCTATTCCTGACCCCCAAAATATTAAGGGTGGCTGCAATGAGGGATGTATGAGTTTAACTCTTTGGCCAGGAGAGCAGTCAAAGAACCCCCTTACTGTTACTTTTTGTGTATTTCTCCATAGTTTTAGAACTTTTAAGCGAATTTAAAACAAATTGCACATCATTGTAAAATGCATTAATTCAAAGATAAATACAACCAAAAAAATTATATTTATATCTTTTTTTTTTGTATTGCTTTTTTTGTTAATAGTAGAAATAATTTTGAATTGTGAGGTATGCAAATTTTTAAGCCATTTTTAAGAATAAAATTTTATATTGTTAAAAAAATAAAAATTGAAATAAATCGGTCGAATAGTCATTTTAAAATCGAATTTTAAATATCCGAGTTTCTTAAAATTAGATTTCTGGAGGAATTTTTCAGGCGACGAAAAAAAAAAAAAAAATGGGAAATACTGAATGAGACATCGAGACGCAGCATTAAAGAAAATCTGTCATTTATAATGCTTCTTTTTTATCCTCGATTAAAAATTAAATCAAAGACAGAAAAATGTTCCGATTGCTCAATTAAACTTGTGACTAACTTTTTTATAGATACTGAGGTGACGTAAGTTTTTCGTTGAATTTTAATAACAAAATAGTTCGTTTAAATATATTAAGGGTTTGATTTGGATAAAAAATAATTGGTTTGATTTTATACCGTCATTCATTTTTAGTTTAAGTTTAGGCTAAATTAAGAAAGCCATACCAAACACTTCAAAAAGGAAAAGTGTATAAATTACAAAAGTAACTGCAGGAACGATGCAACAATACAATCAATAATTTTGCGAGTGACACTATGCCCCCCCACTGCAGAAAAAAAATTTGAAGAAATTTTTTTTTAGCTATGGCCAAAGAAAAATTAATATTAAAATAATTTTAAAAAAAAAGACTAACAGCCTGATGTGTTTTAAAAATAGCTATTTTTAATGCTTCTTAGATGCACAATAAAATATTTTTAAGGGTGAAATTATTGTAACTAAAATGTTTGGTATGTTTTTCAAAAAAATTATCGAAAATGTTTGAACTATTCATTTTCTGTAAGTGGATAAAACTTCCTAAAATTCTATCCCATAAAGCAACAGTCATCTTATGTTTATATATTAAATCTTGTGTAATGGGAGCCTTTTTTTTCTCACCCTTCATCAGATTTCCTATTAAGAGTTTATTGATTTTTTGACGTATTTATTACGATCAGATTGGTGTAAATATTGCAAATTTATAAACTAAATGAAGGAACAGCAATCTTTTTATATGTCATTTAAATGGATATTTTTGCTCAATTAATTAAAGGCGATTCTTCTACAACGGATGATTTAATATAATTTCATTGTTGAAAGTATAACGATTTATTATGTAAAAAAAAAATTATGATACCAGTATATTTGGAAGTAAAACTATAAAAATTGTACCGAGTAAATATTCATCTTTCTTTTTTATTGTTAAATATTTAAATATAAAACTTACCGCGATGATGGATGTATTTTAAAATAAACATTTAATTTTCAATTTAGGGAAATATATAAAAAGACACAAAAACTATTTTTGATACTAAATTCAAGAAAAAAATAATTCAATGTAAATAAAAATATATTTAATAGCAGAAAAAAAAATTCAAATTTTTTTTTACATGAAACTTCGCTTTTTTTCTCTTTTAAAGGTGATTTTGCGTAACACTCAGATGTTAATATTTGTTTACTTTAACTTTATATTTTGAATTGAAGAGAATAAAAAAATATTCAAACTAGAGATTTCTTATATTCTATTTTCTTTTCCTTTTTTTTAAAATTTCTTATGTACGATTGAAGTTTTACTTTTAATCAACTAAATTTAAAAACAATATAAAAAAATTTAAATTAATAATAAAGTACGCGCATAATATTTTGTTTTATTTTACAAAACTGTTTTAGAAGTTCAGATATATATTTATTTTTTAACAAGCAATTCAAAATTAGAACATCCTAAAAATAAATATAATACCTAAAAACGAAAGAAGAGTACCCGAATATTAAATGCAAACCAGAATACATTTTTAGCAAAGATTCTGAAGGAGAAGAGCGTCTGCTTCTGGTTGCTAATGGCAACCAGAACCCGGTCTGACAGCACCGTGGCATATCGTATGGCATATTTATTATAGTTGATAGCCAAGGACCACACCGACAATTCCTAAATTAAGGTACGAACTGAAAAATAACTGAGGTCACGTGACCTGTTCAGTTCAATGTGAATAATGAAACGTGACCAAACAAGGGCAAATATAAATAAAAATAAATAAATAAAAATGGTAAAGTGTGCATATGATACAAACTTCTTAAAATAATGTTTTCAAATTTCGTTTCCTTTTTTTTTAAATTTCAACCATTGAAATTATCAACATGTGAAGTAATAAAGCCGACATCTGAGGAACGTAAGCTTGTAATCTTTTTCCCTGCAGAATCTGAGAGCTTTCCAGAAGCATACATTCTCCTAGTACATCATCAACAGCGAATATACAGGTTATACTCTACGAGAGAGAGCCATTCCTTTCGATAAACATTCCCCCATGTGGCGATTATCATTTCACATATAAAAAAAATGGCACATATGCTGAAAAATAGCATACATATTGAAGCTATAAAGACTGCCAATGGCTTGGTTGATGGTATGGTGATAGATAACAACCATGCCTAGAAGAAGGGGGAATCAGAGGGAATCGGTAAAACGACCTTGATACTTCAAATCAAATAATATGCATACATTAAGTAAAATCTCTTTTTTTCGTAGTAATTTAGACTAGAATTTCCGAGTGCTAATGATGGTAAATTTCTTTGAAATTAACCCTCATATGCGTTATGAAAAATGAAGTAAGTCCTTGATTTGATTTTTGTTTTTCGGCAAGCTCACTTTTCATCCAGTTAATCGTAGTTGAACCTCACGTTATTTATTTTTTTCAAAAAAAGAAAAAAGCAGGCCAACAATTCCAAATATCGATATAATAATATTAAACTTAGATCTACGATTATTAATTTTATTTTATTTTATAACCGTCGTTGAACAGCCAATCCAAATTTGAGTTTAAGGCAACCAATGTTCACCACCGTAGCCTTGTAATTTTGAACCCAATCCAGAAAACAAGGAACACTAGGATCAGTACCCCCAGAGGTATTAATTTGTTATAGGGACTTTGAGGACGTTGTGACCCCGGCAGATTTAGCGTGCACCAGTCACCATTTGATACACGGGGTTTCTACGGCCGAATGGATTTGAACTCCCGTTCTCAGGAGCTTGCGGCGACTGAACTTAACTTAATCGTAACCGCGACAGTTACGATCAGTAACTGTCTCTGTCATTTTCACAAAAAAAAAAAGCCTAACCACCATTGTAGACGCACTGCTCTAACTTTCATATTTCCCCTTTTGTACTTTATAATTAAATATTAAAATAACTACTAATTAAAATGTAAGCTCCGTCTATTCATCTCCTGGACACAACCAACCACCACAGTGGTGACAGCCGGACGTTCATATATTAAGGAGATTATGTTTCAAATGGAATAACTAATTTCGCTTTGGATATCGGAAGTTTCACAAAAACGGTACTGTGGCTTTTCAATTTTTGTTTCTTAATTTCTGTCGGAATGCATACTGTATATTAATTTAATTTCATTACATATATATATTATTACATTTTAATATGCAAACAAATAACGCTGAAAATACTCACGTAGATAAGATTGCACTTAAATTACCCCCCTTTTGGCGTACAAATATTAAACTTTGGTTTTTACAAGTTGAAAGTGCATTTACTTTATCTAACATAACCAAAGATGAAACTAAATACGCAAGTCTTATTGCACATATCGATGCAGAAACGCTATCTCATGTATCAGACTTGTTATTTTCACCCCCTGCTACTAATAAATATGATGCTTTAAAAGAACGTCTCATCACCGAATTTTCGGATTCTGAAAATAAACGCATTCGAAAACTACTTTCAGAACTTCAATTAGGTGACCAAAAACCCTCTCTTCTCCTACGACAAATGCGAGAAGTTGCTACCGATTCAGTAACTGAGGATTTTCTTAAAACAATATGGCTACAACGTTTACCCCCCAATGTGCAATCTATTTTATCAATTTTAACTGATCAAACGTTGGTCAAATTGGCTTTACTAGCTGATAAAATACTTGAAACTTCCCCCACCCAGCAAATAAATTCCATTAAACAAAATGAAACTGAAACCGATCTAAAAAGTAATTCATTTGTTGCTCTTCAAAATCAAATATCAGAGCTCAGCTTACAAGTAGCGAAAATGTCTGTGCAGCAATACCGGCGCCGATCAGATTCTCGTGGCCGTACAAACTCAAGGACAAGAAATAAATCAGAGGAACGTTCTCTTTGTTTTTATCATTTTCGTTTTGGAAAAGATGCGTTAAAATGTAAACAACCTTGTTCTTTTAATTCGGGAAACGAATAAGTGCCACGTCATCTATTTTGCCTGCAGATTCCGTGGCTAATAAATTAGGCAACAGATTATTCATTTATGATAAAAATACAAACTTAAATTTTCTTATTGATTCGGGAAGCGCATGTTGCGTTCTGCCTATTTCTAACAGTAAAAATAAATATACGCCAAGCAGCATAATGCTATATGCCGCGAATAATTCACCCATTAAAACTTACGGAACAAAACATTTAAAATTATCATTTAACCTCCGTCGTTCATTTGGCTGGGATTTCATTCTCGCGGACGTCACCTCGCCAATAATTGGAGCTGATTTTTTAACGCATTATGCATTACTTGTTGATCTGAAGAATAAACGTCTCATTGATTCAAACACTTCTTTAAAGTCGAGCGGCTATTTTGCTAATTCTTCTCAGTGCTCAGTTAAAACTATATCTAATAATATGCCTTTTCAAAATTTATTACAAGAATTCTCGGATATTACTAACCCCTCGCAAGAAAGAAAATCTATTAAACATTCTACCGTTCATCACATTGAAACAACAGGTTCGCCTGTACATTGTAAGCCACGTCGCTTACATCCGCAAGTTTTCGAAGCAGTTAAGCGCGAATTTTCAACAATGTGTGAAAAAGGTATATGTCGTCCTTCAAAAAGTCCCTGGTCTTCTCCGTTACACGTTGTTATTAAAAATTCGAATATAAGACCAGTAGGAGATTATCGACTCTTAAATTCAAAAACCGTCCCGGATAGATATGGCATTCCATATTTACATGATTTCGCACATGCTCTCTATGGAAAATCAATATTTTCTAAATTAGATATCGTCAGAGCATACTATCATATCCCAGTTAATGAGGCTGATATTCCTAAAACCGCGATAGCCACCCCTTTCGGCTTATTCGAGTTTCCTTTTCTAAATTTCGGACTCTGTAATGCTGCCCAGACATTTCAACGTTTTATGGATGAAATATTTCGAGATCTACCTTTCTGCTATTGGTACTTAGATGATATTTTAGTCTTTAGCAATTCAGAACAAGAGCATATTCAACATCTTACTGAAGTTTTTAAAAGACTCCGAAATTACGGTCTGACATTAAATGTATCAAAATGCATACTTGGGGTACCTGAAATTTCTTTTCTAGGGCATTCAGTAAACGATAAAGGTATCACTCCTCTTACTGAACGCATCGAAGTAATCGACCGGTTTCTAAAGCCAAATACGATCAAAGAGCTTAAGCGATTTTTAGGCTTATTAAATTTTTATCGTAGGCATCTACCTAACGCGGCAGCAATTCAAAAACCTTTACATGATCTGTTAAAAGGTAGCCCAGCTCGAAACAAAATCATCGATTGGACCTCAACCGCTACCGAAGCTTTCGATAACTGTAAGGCGTTACTTCGAAATTCAATGCTTCTTGCCCACCCTTCCCCAGATGCTAACCTCGTCTTGCACGTCGATGCTTCAGATTTCGCCGTTGGTGGGGCATTACACCAACTGATAGGTAACGATTTGCAACCTCTCGGATTTTTCTCCAAAAAACTTACTCCTAGGGAAACGCGTTACAGCGCTTATGATCGGGAATTGCTCGCGGTATATTTGTCAATTAAACATTTTAGACATATGCTTGAAGCACGTTTATTCACAATATACACTGATCATAAACCTTTAACGTATGCCTTCCGACAGAAATGGGACAAATATTCGCCACGTCAACACCGTCACCTTGATTTCATCAGTCAGTTCAGCACCGACATACGTTATATTAAGGGCGCAGATAACATATCTGCTGATATGTTATCTCGAGTTGAAACAATTCGTACACCTACTGCAGTGGACTATGACGAAATAGCCGATTCGCAACGTGATGATCCTGAACTGAAATTAATTTTGAGTACAAACTCGTCACTTGAATTACAAGAAGTTGTAATTCCTGGCTCCTCCAAGACACTTTTTTGTGACACAAAATCTCAAATCACTCGTCCATATATTCCACAATCGCATCGTCGTACAATTTTCAATACTTTTCACAAATTGTCACACCCTGGAACTCGAGCTACATCAAAACTGATCCGTTCCAAATTTGTGTGGCCTTCCATCAACAAAGACTGTGTGAAGTGGACTCGAGAATGTCTTGCCTGTCAGCGATCTAAAATCAACAAACATACTCGAAGTCGGTTTGAATCAATACCCATACCTTCAAAAAGATTTGATCATGTACACTTGGATCTCATCGGACCGCTTCCGCAATCTAGAGGATTCCAATATTGTCTCACGTGCATAGACCGTTATACACGTTGGCCAGAAGTTTTCCCAGTCACAGACATGTCAGCAACGACTATAGCATCAGCGTTTTTCACAGGCTGGATTGCCCGTTTTGGCATACCAACCTACATCACGACTGACAGAGGAACAAACTTTGAATCATCATTGTTCCACAGCCTGACGAAATTGCTTGGAATTGAGCGTTGCCGAACAACAAGTTTTCATCCGCAAAGCAATGGCCTGATAGAAAATTTTCATCGGCCACTCAAAGCCGCTTTGAAGTGCCATGCAACAACAGATTGGACAGATGTTCTACCAGTGGTTCTCCTCGGTTTGCGATCCACAGTTAAGGAAAGCATCCAAGCAGCCCCAGCTGAACTAGTTTATGGTGAGACATTACACTTACCAGGTGATTTCTTGATTCCCACTACAAAGGATGATCCTCCACAAGAATTTGTCTGTAAATTAAGACGTCTATTTCTAGACTTAAGACCTCGACCGACGTCACACCATGAAAATCGTCGAATTTTCATACATCCCGAACTTAGAAATTGTTCACACGTATTCGTACGTAGGGACTCTGTTCGAAAACCTCTACAACCTCCGTATGACGGACCATTTAAAGTCATACGAAAAAGTGAAAAACATTTCACCATAATGATACGTGAAAAAGAACAGACAATTTCTATTGACCGTCTCCAACCAGCATTTGGACTATTTCAATCCGAACCAAACACGATCCAAACTTTTCCCTCAAAAGAACCGAGTCTACCAAAAGATTCTCCGGACAAACCTGCACAACGGACTAGATCAGGCCGCAGAGTTACCTTCCCCGATCGTTACGTATCAGTACCCTGATACTGGCGGGGGAGTGTGCGGCGACTGAACTTAACTTAATCGTAACCGCGACAGTTACGATCAGTAACTGTCTCTGTCATTTTCACAAAAAAAAGCCTAACCGCCATTGTAGACGCACTGCTCTAACTTTCATATTTCCCCTTTTGTACTTTATAATTAAATATTAAAATAACTACTAATTAAAATGTAAGCTCCGTCTATTCATCTCCTGGACACAACCAACCACCACAAGCTCGAGTCCAACGCCCTACCAACCAGGCTATCCCGGCCCATAATTAATAATTTTATTTTTAAAACCATCGCTGAACAACCGTCCGAATTTAGGGCTCACGAATACTAATGTTCAACTCCGCAGTCTTGAAAATATGAGCCCAATCCAGAAGACAAGGGAACTCCTGGATCAAGTATTGGAAGAAATTTGCCTTCGTAGTTACCTTCGAAATTCGAGTTCTTTTTGCTGGAACTGACCCACTTTTGCGTTACATGTAAAGGAAAACAGAAAAATCTATAGCTTACGTTTTACGGTAAAAAGTACAGAAATATAGTGGGTCAGTAGTTTCTACCATATTTCTTATATCTAGAATCATTTTACAGTGTCGTTATTAAACACATTTGAAATTGAAAATATTCAGTTGAAATTATTCACTTATTGAAAAATTATGTTTGCGCTTCGCACGTATAAACATTTCTTTTAGGATTATATTAAGATCTATATGTGAACTTAAACAACTTTGCTTGGCAAACAATTTTTAAAATATTTAAAAAGGTTTATTAATGAATTTGGAGAATTCACAACCGTAATTTAATATTTTCGTTTACCAAACAGGCTGGTGTATAATTTGTGCATGTACCACATTGTGCATGAAGCTGATGTAACGAATGGTTTAGCTGATTTATAGTAGTAATTAGCACTAAAAAATTGCTTCATTAATAAGTTTAGACAACGATTCTGTTTCTTAAATGTAGGTTATATTAAAGAAATTTAATTTAGAGGAGAATAAATAGCAGAGTAAAATAAGTCCTTTAAATTAGGGATGCAAAATATTTTATAGAAAAACCTTCATTTTATGCTGGTGAAAACCAACAATTATGAAGGTCAATGAGGGAAAACTGGATCCTTCATTTTCCGGTCAATAAAAATACACCAACAACAATGGAGTCAGACTACATAATTTTATCTTGAACGGATCGAATTTTGAGTTTAAGTGTATCATGTTCAACTCCGCAGCCTTGTAATTTTGAACCCAGGCGAAAACTCCTGGATCAAGTATTGGGACAAACTAGCCGTGGAGGACTTAGTTGGAACTTACCCGCACTTACGAAAGATACAGCAATAACATTGTAAAAATTAAAAATATGCTCAATAAATTCAATAACATTTATTTCCGTTCTTAATTAAAAGTAAAATTACCTTACCTGTATTTTTTTTTTTTTTTTTTGACGCTTCTTCAAGTTTCTATTTCTCGGGGAGAAGACTCTTCTTTCACTTCAAAAGACCGCTACTCTTGAAAAAAAAAAAAAAAAAGATGTCATTAATAATTATTTTGGAACATAGGAAGAATTCAACTAATCATCCAGAAAAAAAATAGAAGGAAAAAGCTTGGGTGAAGATACACAGTAAGTTAAAAGGAAAACAGTACGCTAAGAACCAGGAATAAAGAACATAATAATAATAATATGCACAAAAAATTTAACCTGAATTAGGAAATACAATACACTCTCGATTATCCGTGCTCGGATCATCCGGTTTGCGGATCATCCGTGCTCATTCCGGAGTCACACAAAAAATATAAGCGAAACATTTTCAAGATTAAAAAAATTTGATTCATGAAGTTATAACACTACCAAATTTTTGGAAGCAATATTCGTTATTAGATTGCAGTATATCAGCAGCATGATCAAGGGTAAAATCGTCTACGTTATCACGATCTTGGAGAAAGATCATACCGCTTGATGAACAATCCTCTTCAGATGTTCAAGAAAAATATGATAACAGTATTCTCGAACAAGCAAAAGAAATCTAAGGTTTCGAAAT